ATTGATTCATCAAACACAAATGGTTTGGAATGATTAAAAAAAAAAAAAAAAGTTTGGAAATGCGTTAAACTTGAATTGACAAACATAAAGAATATAAATATTTAAATTATTCAAAAAAAATTAACATTTTAAATATGAGATATTTTCTATTTGCTCAAACTCTGAATCTAAATAAAAATAAAAATAAAATAAAATAAAAAAAGAAAAAATTTGTGGTTTGGTTCTCAAAGGAAATGAGTTCCTAAAAATAAATTTAATCATAAGTTATTTTAACAGGATAATCAATAATAAAAAATCAACTGATGAATACATTTAAAGTATAAACCCATATCCAATAAATTTTGATGTGTTCTTCATTTTCAATCTAACATCTGCACACAAAAAAATTAAACACAAATAATCAATAAGTGAGAGAGTTACAAATTGATAACAGTAGCGCTTTTATAAATGTATTAAAAAAAATCTCAATTAAATGATACATTATTAACAAAAAGAAAGAAATAAGGAAAATACAGATTGTAAGAAAAAAATTTAAAAATAAAATAATAATATCCATTTACATAAACTCACTTTCTCACAAATGCAAAAACTCATGCAAGTACACAATTCAAATGTAAAGCAAATATTTAAGATTTTTAGGAATTATAAATTAAATTTAGTTAAAAATAATAAATTAAAAATTATTGTCTTATAAATTAAATTTTTTTAGTGTTATTAAAAAATTAAATATATATATATTAAATAAATTTATTTTTTTAGTGTTGTTAATTTAAAATTTTATATTAAATAAAAAATAAAAAATATTAATTTAATTTAATTTCGTTGAAAATAATAAATTAAAAATTATGGCCTTATAAATTAATTTTTTTTAGTGTTGTTAAATTATATAATAAATAAAAATTATAAATTACAAGAGTAAATTAGTTTTTTCAACATTTCCTTATCCAGTCCATCCAAACAAACATTGGAATCACTAAAAATAGTTCAATCCAGACATCTAATCACATGACTAAGCAAACATATAATACAAATCCAGTCAAATCAAATAGTCCGGGGACAATGTATCCCAAGACTAACAGTTCGAGGGATTACAATCCCCCTTATCCAATCTATCCAAATAAACACACCCTTTGAGAATTAAAATTATTAACGTTATAGAGATTTTGTGCCTGATTCCTTTTGTAGATATTGTTTATGATTTGAATATATCATTTTTTATGCATCAATGGGAATAACTTTTACAGTCTTACTAATATAATGATAGATCATTCTTTTGAGTCAACCTACCATAAGTATTTTTTCGTGTAATAAAATATTGCAATAGATTATAATCAAACACCACTTGAAACATATATATTTAAAGACCCGTTGCACCACATTTTTTTATTTTTTTTGAGAATATGAAAAAATTTATATTAAAAAACAACAACATACACTTTAGACATAACCAAAAGCATAAGAAATTAGTAAAGATGTTTTCGATTTATAATCATAATACTTTGTACATTATAGAATTTTTTGATGTTTTAATTTTTTTAGAAAAAAATATTTTGATACACATGGAATTCGTGATTTTTGATAAATTTGATTAACACAAATGAGGATTTGATTTTAGGTTGAGAATACAAATTTTTTTTTATTAACTTTGCAACAAATTATTTTTATGAGCCTTTTACGTAATAAATCTATTTATATTTGGCTTTCGATTGTTAAAATTTTATACACAAGGTTTTAACACTCAATTATTTTTTTATTTAAAAAAAAAATTGCCATGTAAAGCACGGGTGTGTTCAACCTAATTTTCTTTATTTTTCAATATGAAAAAATAATTAATAAATCACATACTAATACTTTCTTTTTAAAAAAAAAATATAGAGTGCATTTTTTAATCCTAAGACCATTCATTCCTTTGCATCAAGTAAGGAGATTTCCAGTTAAGAAAAAACAATTAATGAATTACACACTCAAAAATGTTTCATCGTAAAATACTTTTTATTAAAATATTTTAAAATTTTTGCCATAAATCATAAAATAATTTATATAATTAAAATTTCGTAACATATGTTTTTTTCCCTCTCACTATGGCCATTACTATTCAACGTATATGAAACCTCATTATTTTCATACACAGAAAACGTTAATAGGGTTTTTTAAGATTCAAACTATCAACTCAATTTTTTTGTTTTTGATTTTTAATTTTTTTAATAATAAAAAATACTAAATGTCATTATGTGTTGTATTTTAATTAGTACATAATTAAATTCATAGAGCTTTATATAAATCCTTAAATTAGGCCACCATTTACCATTTCAAATTACATCATTAATTTATGTTTACCATACCAAATTTATTTTCAAAATTGCTTTCCAAATTGCATGCGTGCATGATTTTGATACATTCATACATATACACATATGGAAATTAATTCCTTCAATTTTGTTTCAATTTTTACAATTTACTTTTCAAAAAATTATCTTTTTTTTCATTTTTGTATTTTTTTGTTTTCATTGATTTTTTAATATTTAAAACAATTTTTTTTAATTTTTAAACACACTTCACATAAATACATTTTTAAAATATAATATTTGTGAAAAAATCTTTAAAAAATTTTGTAAATGCCAAAAATACAAAGAAAAATAGATTTTTTTTTTTGTATTTTTATGTATTTATTATTATTTTAAAATAGTTTTTCACAAACATTGTACTATTTAGATATATCTAAGTAATGTGTATTTAAAAATGTAAAACAACTGCATAAAATTTTTAAAATATTCACTAAAATAAGAAAAACAAAAACTCAATTTCCAAAAAACTGAATTTCGAAAACTGAAACCAAACATACTGATTAATTCTTTAACATGGCTTGGTTTCTCTCCCGTCCTTTATCAGACTGAAGAGGTGTTGTTGGGCCTTGTGGACCTACTTGTACGCTCCATTTTAATAATCTGAACTATTTATATTTTATGATTAGGTAAAGATCACGTTGACATAAATATGGAAATCAATTATGTGTAACTCTGACAAAAATAAATAAAATTTAATTAATTATAAAACATTTTTACTACATATTTTCGATAAACTTTATATTATTATTTAATTTTAAAACTAATTTTTGATTATTTATTTATACTCACGCATAACACTGCCAATGTCATTTTAACAGCTCTTAACCTAATATAAAAATAAACCAAGATTTTTTTATAAAAAAAACTGATTTTTTTAAATTTTTTATTTAGTAGTTTCAAAATACAAAAATTGCTAAAATTTATTGGTTATTGACACCAAAAAAAAATTTAAGTGAAACTAATTAAGATTTTTATTCACGCATAACACTGCCAATGTCATTTTAACAGCTCTTAACCCAATATAAAAATAAACCAAGATTTTTTTATAAAAATAAACCAAGATTTTTTTATAAAAAAAACTGATTTTTTTAAATTTTTTATTTAGTAGTTTCAAAATACAAAAATTGCTAAAATAAAAATAAACCAAGATTTTTTTATAAAAAAAACTGATTTTTTTAAATTTTTTATTTAGTAGTTTCAAAATACAAAAATTGCTAAAATTTATTGGTTATTGACACCAAAAAAAAATTTAAGTGAAACTAATTAAGATTTTTAAAAGAAAAGTGATGCTATTTCATATTTATTTAGCAGATTCAAAATACAAAAATTATTAAAATTTATTTGTTATTGACACAACATAAAATTAAGAAATAAAAAGGTGATCCCTTGAATTTTTTTAATTAACTTTAGATTACAAAAATTGTTAAAAATTAATAAATAGTAGGCACAAAATAGAGTTAAAATTTATATAATAAGGTATGATAAATATTTTTTTTAATTACACGAAATTTAGGACTTGTTTGGTTTGTATTTTAAAATACAATTTTTGAAAAAAAATTTAAAATTTTATTTGATTCAAATTTGTTGAAATTTTTTTAGTAAAATCATATCTCTCCTACAGTGTCAATCAATTTTTTTTTCTTTTCTCTCTATTTCTCAACCATTTTTTTTCACATATATCTACTCAATTAAAATAAAATATCAAATAATCTAAAGCTTTAAAACTATTTTCAAAACATATAACCAAACAAACCAAAAACATTTCAAGCCTGTTTGGTAATCACTACTCTTCTAATTATTGTTATTAAACACTACCCTTCTAAACTCCCTTTCCAAATTTTTTTAAAAAAATTTATCTCAAAACACAAATCAAGCTTATCCTTAAATTCTAAAAAATTATAACTTTTATCTAATTGTTAACTTACTCTATATACCTCAATTCTTTTATGTTTGAGGGGTATTTTTTTTAACAAATTTTACAAATTATAGATGACGTTTTATTTTTATCCAATTTTTAATACTCTCTTCTATTTTTCTATTATTACAATTATATTAGATTTTTTTTCAAATATATTAATTTTTTTTGAATCTTTAAATTTCAATCTACAATTAATATTTACTAAGTTTCCCTCTAACTCTTAGGATGTGTTTTAATTTGTGATGTAAGTTGGGGGAAAAAAAAATTTGAGTAGAATTAATTTTTTTTTTTGCTTTGTTTTATTATATATTTTTAAAAAAGTTTCGTAATTTACAAGTTTGAAATAATTTTATATTAAAGTTAGATTATCAGAAAAAAAAATATGTTGAAATTGAACTATTGTTTAAACATTTTAAGGAATTATTATTAAAAATTAACTAAATTCATTTAAATGAATATTAAAACAACGGATTTGAATGATTTTATTATATTTACATAAATATGTAAGACAAAAATTGTTTTGTTTTGTTTTGTTATATTGGAGTGTTACGTTTGGGTTTATGAGTATTAGCTTTGAGAATGAACTATTACTTTGTTATTTTGAAACAGAAAGAATATATATATATTCATATCAAATCCTAAAAGTTGCAGATTTCATTATTTTGAATCAAGTCTAAATTTGAAAATGAATTATAAAAATATTGAAAGACAAACTTCAACTTTTCATTCAAAAGCAATAGAAATGACAATTAAAGTTATTAAATTCGAAAGATTCAAATTTAAAACAAAAGCCAAACGATTGTATCTGCACTACACAACTAGATCAAACCGATTCAAAATCACAACCAGCCAAAGAAATTTAAAACATTAGCACTACCAGTCACCAAATCCTAAAAACCCTACCCTTAGATATGTAAAAAAAACAGAACGAGACCAGAGAAGCCAATCGATCGATCAATCGAAGGCCTTTCAAGAACTGGTAAACTTAGTCACAGCCTTAGTACCCTCAGACACGGCATGCTTAGCCAATTCACCGGGAAGAACAAGCCTCACAGCAGTCTGAATCTCCCGAGAAGTGATCGTAGGCTTCTTGTTGTACCTAGCAAGTCTCGAAGCCTCCTGAGCGAGCTTCTCAAAGATATCGTTGATGAAACTGTTCATAATCCCCATAGCCTTGCTCGAGATCCCGATATCTGGATGAACCTGCTTCAAAACCTTGAAGATGTAGATCTTGTAAGTCTCAACGCTCTTCTTCGACCTCTTCTTCTTCTTGTCTCCGGCGGCTGCTCCGCCTTCCTTCGGCAGCTTCTTCCCGGCCTTCGGCTTCTTCTCCGCCGGAGCCTTCTCCGCCACCGTGGACTTCTTCTCCTCCGCCGGCTTCTTCTCTGCGGGCTTCTTCTCTGCTGCTGCTTTGGGTGCCATTAGAGAGTCTAGAGAGAAAACTAGGGTTTCAAAATAGAGATGAGAGAGATTGACTCGGAATGGGTTGTGGGAAGATTGGGGTCGCGATGGTTGTTATATACAAGGGATTGACGGAGTCTTATTGGGTAGTGAGGTTTCACCGGGATCGCTGACTTGGCATTAGTTTTGGCCGTTGGATTTAGATATAAAGAGAGGACAAGCGGATTGACAGTTGAGAGGTGATCAGCTTTTGTTTTGGGGTTAAAATGGGGGGAACAGTTTGGATTTTGGATTGGCGCCATTCATTACACGTTTTTGGAATTTGGGCGGTGTGGTTCCCAAAATTTGTGGCCCACCATTAGCTAAGTTTATTTTAAGAGCCTCTGTGATTGGGCCGATTACAAAACATAGAGTTGAAATTATCTACTCATGAAATAGATAGTCTAGTACTTGGATGTAATTTTTGTTAGTAAAATTAGATCTTGATAGACATGATATCCAAGAAAATCAGTAGTTTTTTAAAATTAATAATGCAATGCAATACAAACGTGGATAAGAGATAATTGCTTATCATATTAATTTAGTTAGATAATCAAAATTACATTAATTTTATAAATTATTAATCATCTCACTATTAATCATGATAACCAAACATGTGCTAATGGGGTAGTTTAACATTTTTTCCCCCTTCTATTTTTATGTTTTCTTAGGGTTCTTTTGGAAGTGACTATTTTAATTCACTTTTTAAGGAGAAAAAAATACAGAAAATGTAAATAGAATAGTGAATTTTGTTATAATGACTTTTTAACTTTTTAGTTATTTTAAGTTGTTTCCAAAACAACCCTTAATATTACACTTCATCTTTATTCATTTATTCTACAACTCTACTAAGAGCAATGTCAAGTAACACAAATTGCTATAAGGCCTCGTTTGAAAACAAATTTTTTTAGTAACTTTTTGACTTTTTTGCTAAAATATGATGTAAAAAAAAATTAATATATTTGGGATGATTTTTTGATTTTTTACGAAAATATGTGTAAAAAGTAGAGAGAAAAAATGAATCTTTGACTTTTTTGTATAAGTTGTTGATTTTTTATTTTTTTAGTGACTTTTTGACTTTTAGGCTAAAATGACAAATCCCCAAACGAGGCCTAAGTCATCTATTATCCAAAGCTATATAAACATATTATTAAAATTCAATAGTAAAACTATAAGTTTTAAAGTTAAATTGGACTAGGGATATAAAAATGGCCTACAGTCTGAGGTGGGGTCGAGCCCGAGCCCAGCTTGAGATCCTAGGCTTGTGCCTAACCCATCATTTTGAAGTACGGCCCAGCCCATCAACCCGTTCAAAACCCACTCAAAACCCAACCTGAGACTCGGTCCACCCAAAGCCAGTGTTATTTTTAGTGGAAAATAATAAAATTTTGGTAGAAAATATAGAAAAAAATAAAATAAAATAAAAATGATCAGTCTTGTCGGCCTGCCCAAGGCCCGAATACTCCATAGGCCTAATTTTTTATCCTCGTAGGCTAACTTAAATTTAGGCGGGATCCCAGGTAACCCAATATGGGCCAGCCGAGGTAGGCTGGGCCATACCTAATTTACACTCATAAACTGGACATATAGGGTCAAGGGTGAGGCAAGAATATGAGAGAAGTCTAGCAATATGGTTATCTATGGGATAATATTCACTAAACAATGGTGGGGTAGGGTACGGGTCCCTTCACGGGAGGCACAAAGGCTAGCTAACAAAAACTCTCTAGATGGTCATCACTGAGCCTGACCGCGCATCTGATCTCTTACATACATAAATAATAGAGTGAGCAAAAACCTAGTAAATAATAACAAAGTAAAGAGTTTAATGAATGATGTCCATCTCAGAATTAGAAATCAAAATTTATATCAGAAATAGATTCTTATGCATATTCAGATATCAAATCAGAAACAGATTCAGACTCACATACTTATCCAGAAATCATAAACAGTTATAGGTGGTACATCCATTAGCTATCATATCAACTTGGTCCTGAGACCAATATGTATAGTCGGTACCGACAATCATAAAAGTCCATATCTTATGCACAAGCAGCTATGGTATTGTTACCCCAGGCAAAGGCCATGTGAATATAGGCCTCGGTATTGTTACTCCCGAGCAAAGGCCACGTGAACATAAGTTACGGTATTGTTACCCCTGGGCGAGGGCCACGTGCATATTAGCCACGGTATTGTTACTCCCGGGCAAAGGCCACGTGAACTATGGATGCCACAATACATTTCAGAAAAATGAACAGTTATTCATGATTCATAAATAGCATTCCAGAAAGCAGTTCAGGAAATAAATCCTATTACATCATACAGAAAATAAATAAGGTTGAATATAGCTTTACAGAGTTATTACTCACAGATGGCTCTACTTGTAGATCAGGCGAATCAAACAACTTGTGGCGTGTGACCTACACACACATAGCAGAACACATAATGAAATACACACTCGGTTGATACTTAACTTCTTTCGTTTCATTCTTAGTGTGTTTCTAAGTCTTAGCCTCTTATTGAGCCTTAATCATGGCTTAGGAGTGCCTATGATGCAATGAGGATGCTAAAATGCACTTGAACACATTTAACTTAACTTGCAGAAAACAGGGGTCCCGCTCGAGCGCAACTTCTCTTGCTCGAGTGAACATGTGAGAGGACGCTCGAGTGTAACTTCCCTCGCTCGAGCGGTCTGTAAACTTTGAAAAAGTACTAGTTATGTGAAATCTTCGCTCGATGGTCACTCGACTCTCGCTCGAGCACAACTCTTGTCGCTCGAGCAGTTTGCAAAACACGCAAACTTCTAGGAGCATGCACTTTACGCTTGAGTGGAAGTATAAGATTGCAGAGTGGACGCTCGAGCACAGATTCTGCCGCTCGAGCGAAAGTGCAGAATCTGTAATTTCTAGATTGCACTCCCAAGCTCCAAACTTGAATTCAAAGCCATTAAACTCAACCTTTAGGCCCCAAAACTTGAGAAAACAAGTCTAAACTTGGAAAACATAAAGAATTGAAGTTCATTTCATGAAATCAAGATCTAAAAGCATGTCAATTGACCAAAACCCAACTTGAATTATACAAAACATGCCGTGTATGCAATGGTTTGATTCCAAAGCTTCCAAAACACGATCAATGGACATAAATTAATGCAACATAAGATGAATTCTCAAAACACATGTGAGATGAGTACATGAAAGTTGAAATCTCTCTCAAGTTCATTCTCAAAACATACTCAAAATGCTATGATATATGTATATAAATAGATATACATGCATGGAATGATCCTCTTTTTTAATTCATGTAATAACCCCGACCTCCGATTAATGCTAAATCATGATTAATTATGCCGAATAGTAATTTAGAAGGAATCCGGAATTAAATTACTTATGTATTGCATTATCTCAGTGTTTCTATTTGTTTGCCATAAAATAATCTGTTCATGTTTAGACTTTGAACTACGAATTGAAAACCTTATCGGCGCCCGATTTCAAAATTGACTTGATATATGTGTTGGTTAGGATTTATAGAATTTTGTGGTAGGTTTAATTAAAATTCAGTTCGGAACGATTAAACTAGATTAAAATAATGTTATTTATTTACTTTTTGATCATTACCACTTATGGACCATTTTAGACTCCACTAGCTCACATTTTCATTTCACTCCTCCATTCCTCTGATGCAAAACGTGAGAGAGAGAGAGAGAGAGAGAGAGAGAGAGAGAGAGTTGAAGGGAAGTTGGATTCAACAAGGGATTTTCTTGGAGTTTAGGAGGAATAGAAGGATTTGCATATTAGAGCCTTCACTTTGAGGAATTCATGACTTGAGGTAGGCATTCACCCTACTAATTATGGAATTTATTTGTTAATGTAAGAATTCTAGTGAATTAAAGGGACTCATGTTAGGTTTAAGCTAAGATTGGTGAATTGAAGCTCAATACATACATACATATGTAGTTCATAGCACTTGAGTTGTCCTTCTAAGGAATCCATGCATGCATGCACAAATTTCCATGTTTTGAGTTGGAATTCTAAGATTTCTTCAATGCATGTGTCAATTTCACTCATATTATAGCCATTAAACATATTTTCCATCAAATTATTAAGTTTGGTTATGTTTTGGAAGGTTTGAATTCAAAGAGGTTCTTGCATGTTGAATTAATAGCATGTTCATAAAGTTCATGTTGATTTTGCACAAATTGGTTTACGCTTGGGCCATGATTTCTTGAATTGAAGCTTTAAACGTGTTGTTTTATGGGTTACCAAGTGTTTTCCAAAATTTTGGCCCAGGAAAATGAGTTTTGGATGGTTGAATGTTGAATTTCATGTTTTAAGGTCAATCTGGATTTCCCAGAAATTTGACCCACGCTCGAGCGGGGACTTTCACGCACGAGCGTAAAGCCTGAGTACATGCACTTCCGCTCGAGCGGCGAGAGTCACGCTTGAGCGTGAAATGCGTATGCCCAGAAGTTTGTGTGTTTTGCAGTCTGCTCGAGCGAGGTCAGTGTCACACGCTCGAGCGGAGCGCTCGTCGAACGTGAATTTCCTACATCTAGCACTTTTTCATAAGTTTGCAGTTCGCTCGAGCGGGGCTTCTTTTTTCTGCATGTCCGCTTGAGCGGGGAAAGCCACGCTCGAGCGTGGACCTTATCTTCAGCAAAATTAATGTTTTCCAAGGCATCTTTGCATCCTCATTCCATCCTAGGCATTCCTAGGCCATGTTTAAGACTCTGTAGTGAGGATTTAAGGTTAGAAACACATTAAGAACCAACGACGTAAGCTTTGTGCAATTAGAATGTGTGTTTCAAGTGTGTGTCCGTTATGTGTTATGTAGGTCACGTGCCGCGTGTCGTGTGATCAATTTGCTCCGTCTGTCTGTTTCAAGGCCAACTGTGAGTAATAATTTAGTAAAGTTATGTTCAAACTGTATCTACTTTCTGTGTGATAAAACATGATCTGTTTTGAGTGGCAAATCATATATAGTCAAATCATATCATATCCTCTATGTGTGTGTCCAGCAATAACCAAAACAAATATCCAAATATCCACCAAATCCCAA